CTGAGACACATTTTTGGGCCCGGGCACCGAATTTTCGATGATATCGGCATTCTCCAGAAGTGACAGAACGCTCACGTGGTTGTCGACTGGTAGAGGTGAGACTCTGTCTGATGGCAGAAGTGAGGTCCTTCTGAGCAATGGTTAGTTCTGTGATGGCTTGTCTGAGTTCGTTCAGCTCGGAGGCTACTGAAGAACCATGTCCATGCTGGCGAGAGCTCTGGTTGACGGCCATGACACTGCCACCAGGGATGTTTGTCATGAGCTCATCAGCTGCAGCAGCTAGTTCGTTAAGTGAATTGGCCTTGAAAATTTTCAGCAAGTGCTGAATGCTGACAGGCAGAAGGGCCAGCCATCGTATGCGGAGCACGTCTTCTGTAGCACGATTGCCGGCAAGGGCTCGCATTTCACGAAGCAACTGTGAGGGTTTTCGGTCACCTAGTTCTAGATCAGTGAGCAGTTTGTGCATCTGAGAGTCTTCGGAGGCTGTTAGTCTACTTATTAGGTTAGACTTGAGATTTTGGTACTTATCTTGAGGTGGTGGAGCCTTAAAGATGTCTGCAACTTCCGTGATTGTGTCCGGGTCCAGTGATTTTACCAATTGATAGTACTTGGTGCTATCGGACTGTATACGGTGGGCTTGAAAGACTGATTCAATCTGCAGGAACCATAGGTCTGGATGAGAACGCCAAAAGGGTGGCAGATTGCAGTTGTAAACTGCGTCAATGGCATAACTCTGCTGCTGGTTGAGCATCATGGGGGCTGGCAACGAATTTACTACTGGTTGGGCATATGCTTGCTGATAGCTCACCGGGTGATTTGTTGGATTAAAATGCACCGCGGGATCAAATGCTGTACTGCCGTGAGGGCCAGAAGGTTGAGGCATAGGAATACTCACTGACGAACTCCTGTCTGGTTGCTGGTTGGTAAAAGAGCTGTTTGCAGCCAATTGCTGATCAGGATCTACTGAGGAGTCGAAATTGCTTTGCATCTTGATTTTTTTAGTAGTCAGACACGTCTTTTAGGTTAGAGGCCGAGTGGTACGCGGAGATATATCACGTCGGGGTCACCAGTTATAGCTACTACTGCTATGTGTTTTGCTTGATATATCACCAGCGAATGAAAACACTGTTTTACTAATAACTCGGTTTAATTCTGGGCACTGAACATACAAATAAATCGAAATACTTTATTTTGTTAACAACAACACGATATCATAATTGCGCGGCAACAAGCTGACTAGAAGTAAACAACAACCTGGGACAGCTGTCTTCTGTCACGTCACGTCAGGCTGCCAGGGTTGTACACAATAGTTGAGCCATCCAGGGTTGAACACAACGGACTCGCGGAACAATGACGCCACAAAATTTTGATTTTTTTTTTTTTTGAATGATGACAGCACTCTGTTTATGGCTTTTCCATGGTAATTTAGCGAAAAACAATAATTTCATGAAAAAAATACTTCGAATGGACCTTTCTCATTTTACCTGTGCTGCGCGCGCAACTTGTGGGTGACAGATTATAAAATTGCCATTTGAATGAACGCGGTCTGACCCTGACGTTTTTTAAGTTAACCTCAATAATCAATCAATATTGCTGATAATTATTACAAACACTGTTTATTATACAATGGTTCAAGTGTGTTGTGTGAGATCTTGTCAGAGTGAGGCGAAAAAGAAGTGAAACCTTTCTTTTCACAAGTTCCCAAGCAATCAAATTTTAAGAAAACAATGATTACATGCTTTCAACCTGACTGAAGACGATTTAAGTTGGAACAGAGTTTTGAGGGTTCGTAAAATAACGATATCTATATCAAATACAATAATAATTGTAAAATTAAAGGTTTGTTAGCACTTGCAAATTCGTACTTCTCAAAGTTTTCTAAACTTTTCCCCCGCATATTTGTCATATTCACATTTAATAATAAACAAAAACAGAAACATAACCGAAATTGCACAATTTGACAAGTGGAACCAATCAAAGTCATTCCACACAGGTATCGCGTATCATTATATGTGTCTCTTTCTTTATTACATAAATTTTAATAAACTATTCTTGTTGTTCATTGCATGAGAAAGGTCCATTGTTATTAAAAGTTACCTAATGTTTGGGATAAGGCATTATTATGGAAATATTGAGTGATAACGAAGAATTTTCACTAACACCTCCAGAAATTACAGAAAGGGCGACAAATGCAGGTAATAATATACTACCGGACAAGTCCAAGAAAATTTGCGAAAAATTATATGGACAATTTATGGATTGGAAACACCAAAAACACATCGTCCTTCTCAGAAAATGTTTTTGATAGTATATTTTGAAGAATTACAACAAAAAATGAAACCCTCAACTGTATGGATTACCCAATTATAACATCTCTATTCAAAGTTAAGCGTAATGTTGGCATATCGAGGGCTGAAACGCAGGACCTCGTAACTAACATTTTCGACGAAATCGGGTTTTTGATGTAGTTGTCTTCTTTTATGTGAGCGCCATCTATTTTCGAAAGGACAAAATTCTACAAAAATTATTTATTTGTGAAAATAAATGAAAACAGTAACTCGTAACTTATTGCGCTGGGTTTCCCGAAGCATAACCTCGTAAATACAACACTGTTCAGGTTGGCGCCATTTAGGTATTGTCAAGGTAAGTGCTTTTGAGAATTCTTAGTATCAAAATATTATGAAAACTAATGTGTAGGGTTGAATTTTGCTATTAATTGTTTAATTAGACAATAATCTTTATTCTGGCATAATAATTTTCCGGATATGGAAATCATTTTAGGTGAAATTTCACATTTAATTACAGGTGTTAGATACGAGGTCCTGCTCCATAATATTTTCGTCAAGGAAGACCTCGTAACTACAACAATGTTAAGTTTGGGCCATTTAAGACTAGTCAAGGTGAGTGGTTTGTGGTTTTGTGAATAGTATGTGAATAATGTGAAATAACTAATGTGTAGGGTTAAATTTTGCTGATAATTATCAAGGTAAACAATAATCTTAATAGTCCCATAGTGAATTTCCTGGATTGTTGATGATTTTACGTGAAATTTTCCATTTTTAATTGCAGATGTTAGTTACGAGGTCATGTTCCACATTGCTCTAGAGAAGATACGAGGTACTGCTGCCTAAAAATGTCTAGTCGCACGAAAAAAATTTTGGAATTGGCCAAACTAGCACATTCTAGCGAAAATAATACTGAAGAAAATGATTCTCTTCAAGAAATCAGTGAAATTGAACTATCAGGAAATATTCTTTTAAATAAAGCCTTATCTCCAGAAGATATTTCTAATATCATCAGAGAAGTCGAGAATGTCTTTGATAACGATAATGCCAGCGATAATCCTGAAAATAGTATTAATAGTGCTGAAAATCACAATCACAATGAACAATACCATCCCGGAATCGGAAATAATGAAACCATACACGAGGTTAACGAAATTGGAACACGACAACTAGATGAAGCCTTAAGTTCAGAAGATATAATTACTATTATTATCAATGAAGCCGAGATTGTCTTTGATATTAACGAAAATCCAAGCGATTGTCATAATAACAGTGCTGTTTTGTCAGACATAACAAACGTGGTTAATTGGCAAAAAGAAAATCAAACTCACGATAAACAATCTCATCTCGTAAGTAATGATATCAAACAAAAGGTAAATG